CTCCCTGAGTTCCTTCTTCTCCTAGCTCTTTACTTTGCTTTGTATTCTTGCTAAAAACATTGTAATGCATCCTTGGGTGTTTGTATCTGTATATACAGGTAGTTAAACTATTCTTTAGGGTCTAATCCCTCTTATCTATACAAGTATTTTTTGGTAATACTCCTATATGATTTATTGTTATTAGTTTTAGTGTTTAAATCAACCTTTTAGGGTGCATGCATACTATGGAATCTTGAGCAGGTAAAACATAGTTTAGAATTTCTTAAACCAGTCCATGACAGCGGAATAACAAATGGTTTCAATCATCAAGGAGACTTGGTTGTTTGGCATGTGTGATCCCATAAGGCTTAGGTACTTAATGGCTCAATGTAATGAAAATTGACATAAAGATATAGTTGGTTTGGTTATGTTGGGACTCCGTTCGAGTATGAGAGTGAATGTAAGGTATAAAAGTGTCTGGTTAGACATAATCCATATATGAAAAAGAAGTTAATAAAACCATAACACAACTTTATAGAGATGAGTGGAGGATGACCCTAGGTTCCTTTTTGTTTATCATTCTGTGTGTCCACTTGGGGAAGTCACATTCTCACGTGCCCGAGTCATAGGTAGTAGTTTTTGGTGAAATATGTGTGTTTTTGGTTTTGATAGAGATCTTAGCGTAGATAAAATTTGGGCGATAAAGAAGTTTTACATGATTTATGGGAATTCTATTGTATTTGTATATAATATACTGCAAATAATCTTACAAGATAGTGATTTACTCTCATCCAATGGTTATAATTTTTACTGAACCATTCAATTGACTAGATTAAAGTTGCTCCCAGATATGTTCGTAACTCATGTTGCTTGCACTTATGTGTGGCTTATGAATTACTTAAACAGAAGCGTTCTTAGGCATGATCATTGGTTTTCATAAGAAAGGTAACTGATTTTGAAAGGCAACAAATTAATAAAACCGATACAATATTTAAAGGTGCTCACTTGTCTTTTTTTTTTTAAAAAAAAAAATTTGGTGAAGGAAGTGGTGACATCTTTTTGCTCACATAGATCAAATATTTTGATGATTTATTTGTTTAGAGGTATATACTACCTCTAATTTCTTTTTATTTGTTGTTTTAGAATGAACCTAACACTATTTTTTTTTTTTTGATTTGTCGTACTTCATTTCTAATGTAACATTAATTAAACTTTCCAAATACACCATTATCCCTCTCTACTTTTAATAACATATGCTATTAATGCCAACTACCTTTTTTTTTTTTTTTTACACTTCAATTCCAAATTGTTGCATATTCCCAATACTTTTGATTGGTGGCAAACAAAAGAATTACAATTAAAAATTAAAGTCTCAATTACTATTTCCTAATGCCACAAATAAGAAAATAAAGATAGCTAGTATGTAACAGTAATGCTTATTAATAACCATGGTTTTTTTATTTTTGTGATAATCTTATTGATACAACTGTACAAATGTCTACTATGGATTAGACTAAGAAAAAATGAGATGTGGATTAGGAAGTAGTGTAGTAAATTGGTGTAGGCAATCCTTTGTCGTACTTCGATGAAATATCTAAGCTAAGGAACGGAATTCCTTTTCGACCCATCAATAGGATCTGTCAGGAATTCTGACCCAAGAGATAAGGCTCAGAGCTTTCCAACAGCAAGCTCAATAAGTAAGTAGGAAACCCATCTCATCCTAAAACCTCAATGTGATAGGTGATGGGATTAACTTAATTATTAACTACTCTTTATTGCTTCCAGATACTGATGTTGGACAATTAACCTGCTCAATACCTCAACAATCTCCCCCGTCATGAGTAACTCACCACAATAAAGTCTAATTTTGTTTTCCGTTGTAACTGTACCAAACCCACCTCTATTCCAAGTCGGTTAATTGTCCTATATCAGTATTTGGGAGCAATAGAGAGCAGTTAATAAGTAATTTAGTCCCAAAACCTATCACCTTGACATTTTAGGTTGGGTAGGTTTCTTACTTATTTATTGAGCTTGCTATTGGAACTCTGTGGGTCTTATCTCACCAGACGGAATTTCTGACAAGTGGTATCAGAGCCAAAGGTTAGATGGACCTAATGGGCTATCTAGGCCATTGAGAGTTGTGCACCTGGATTGACCCATGAAACTCGGTACTCCAGAAGCTATCGCCTTTCCCACTTGCAGTAGAAGTGGGCTTGGTGCGGTTACATTGAAAAAAGGAATTGGGTTTTGATGTGGTGAGTTACTTATGACGGGGGAGATTGTTGAGTTCATGAGTAAGTTAAATGTCCCACATCAGTACCTAAGAGCAATAGAGAGTAGTTAATAAGTAAAATGGTCCCAAAACCTATCACCTTGAGGTTTTGGGTTGAGGTGGATTTCCTACTTACTTATTGGTCTTGATATTGGAACTCTCTGGGCCTCATCTCTCCGACTGGAATTCCTGACAAGTTGTATCTGAGCTAAAGGTTTATTGGTCCAAATGGGCTATCTGGGCCTTTTAGAGTTGTACACCTTGATTGACCCATGGAACTCTGTACTCCGGAAGTTGTCGTCTTTCCGACTTGGAGTAGAGATGGGCTTAGTGTGGCTGCCATTGAAAAAGGAATTGGGCTTTAATGTGATGAGTTACTCATGACGACAGAGATTGTTGAGCTCATGAGTAGGTTAATGGTCCCGCATCGCTATCTGGGAGCAATAAAGACCAGATAATAAGGAAGTTAGTCCCAAAATCTATCACCATAAGGTTTTAGGTTGAGGTGGGTTCTTACTTATTTATTGGTCTCGATATTGGAACTCTCTGGGCATTATCTCCTAGGCCGGAATTCCTGACAAATCTGTGAGTTTTCAATACAAAGTACTTCCTAAAAATTTGAAAAAATAAACCCACCTATTTTCTTGAATGTCAACTCCAAAAATAAATTTTAAAAAAATTATGTTTAGAATAAAACACCAAATGTTTGTCCAAATGAATTATTTACTCTTAAAAAAGAATGTTTTTTTCTAAAAAATTTTTTAGTACACATAAGGAGGCACTAAACTCAATGACAAAAAGTAAATTAAATTAAAAAATTCTAGTGATTTGAGACCCGAAAATATTATACTCGTGTTCTCTTTCTAAAAACCAAGAGAGCGAAAGTCCTCTCTTTCTCCAAGTTAGAAAGGCTTTTCACTTTCCCTAAAATCCAGCTAATACACTAAATCTACCCACATACATAATCCTTAGCTTCTTGAAAATCATCGCATGCATTAATATTTGGCAAACATTCTCTGCAACTTTTGCCATTTGGATGGCATGCAAATGATGGTCCACTATCCTAACCCCTTTTAAAAATCCCCCCAGATCTTAATTTTGATAAGATCCATTACTTCCTTTACCGTTTTAACTTTCCTTCCAATGATACCAAATATTGCCTTTATTTTTCCTTTTTGTTTGCTTGTTGTTCCAAGGAACTGAATACTACCATTTCTTCAGTTGCTTTAATGCTCAGTCAAAAACTAGTCCACAAAATAACTTTGTGTTTCCCTAGCAGCCACAATCTCACCAGATTCCAAAAATTTACACCCTGATTAATTCATTGTAGTGTTGGCCTCTTCCCATTTGAATCATCCATCACTTTCTCCTCTTGTTTCAAACCTTTTCCCCAGCAATCACTTTCAGATCTAACCTTTCCCGTACTATAACCTTCAAAATAGATTCATCTACTTCGAATTCTATTTTTCACTCTCAACAAAATTACTTCTCATCATGAGTTATTGACATGCAATGGATAATGATTTGGTAACTGCAGTGTCTATCCAAGGTGATGAATTCTCTGAAGAGGAGCAAGATTTCACTCCGGGGGTGGATGTGCATCCACAACTCATCAACACTCCTTATCTCATATCGCAGAATGTTTTGTTGACAGATGCAAATATTCATTTGTCCCGGGAGAATCTAAGATTCTCTCTGCTTTGTTATCTCATGGATGATCGGGAAGTCACTGATACTCAAATGTAGAATTACATGATCAATAATTGGCCCATGTACTCCCGACTGCTGCACCATGATAGAAATTTTTTCATCTTCTAATTGGCTCCGGGGTAGATCTACTCACGGTCCTTGACAATGGTCCATATGCAGTCAATGGGGGGTTGTTGATCCTTCGCCGCTGCTATGATAATGAAGATCTAAGTTTGGACAATATCAGAATCACTAAACTTAGTCTTTGGGTGCGCCTGCATGGAGGCCAATCGCTTCTCTCAACTACCATGTAGCCAGAAATCTTGCAAAAAGAGTGAGAGAGGTAGCCCTACTCAAGGAAGATTGTGTATCTCTCCATAAATCCACTTACATCAGAGCAAGTATGGGTGGAACATTGTAATCCTCTGACTCCAAGCTTCCACTTCACAAAATGCAATGGTAAACTGGGCAAGATCCAGTGCAAATATGAGGCGGTTCACATGTTTTGTCAGCGCTGTGGTTGCTTGGGTCATCCGCTGAATCGATGCTATATGGTGGATGAGGCAGAGCTTAATCAATTTCTGGATAAATATTTTCTTGAGAAGGCAGTGAAGAATTGCTCCCCTTTGTTAATTGATGCCACTAAACCCATGTTTGCAGCATTAATGAGATCGCATGGTCACAAAAAGAAGAGATGCTCCAGAATCTGGGACGACAAGTATCTACACATTCGAGATTACTACAGCTCTGTTCCTGAACATTTCATCCAGGATGGCTTCCAGATCACAGAGTTGGATGAGCCAGAACCAGTGGCGTGGCATCCAGCTAATGTTCCAGGAGATGATGATGACAATGATGATAATAATGCTGATGACCACAATGAAGATGATGAAGATCATCACTGTAAATCCCTGATAATGGAGATGGGTATAGTTCAGGGAGCTTCCACCCGAATGATTACTTAAGTGATGATTATATCCCACCAAGATCTCATGCACCACAAAATGGCTTCAGGGACAATAGCGTTTATGCGAATGGAAGGTATGCAGCTCCAGCAGCAATGGCGGTGGAAGATGTTGTTGTCTTTGATTCCCCAACAGAAGGTACTTTTCACACTCCTCATTCACAATTTGTTTCAAATGATTATCAAGGAACTTTCCAAGGATATTCCACTGCATTGGAGATGCCAGACTCCTTTTACCTAATTCCAGTCCCACCACCAGAAAATGCGTTGGAAAATATGGATTATATCCCAAGTATTTTTATCCCCATGTCCCTGATTATCCCCCTTATACTGATGTTCATGGTTCTCCCAATTATGTTTTCTATATTATACTATCTGTTTCAGTCATAGGCAGAGAGAAAGTACTCTCCCCTGTATCTCAGTCTTCCTCTAGTATAGCTAATCCCCAGTCTCCGCCAAGAAATAGCCATGTTGCAGATTCCTTCCAGGAGACTCAAGAGTACTATTCAACAGCAAGGAAGCACTCCAGATCAGCCAAACACGCCTTCAAAACTGCTCAGCCTCCCAAAAACAAGGCCTCGGGATGGACAATTTCGGCACCGCTATTGGAGGATGAGAGTGATGCTTATTCAGGAACTACATTTGACACACACATGATGAAGGTCCGAAAATGTACTTCTAATACAGATGCGGGGACTCAACACAAGAAGGACATCCTACTGAGATACAACACCAGAAAATGTCAACATGGCAGAACACGAGGTCACAGGAAATCAAACAAGGTCGCCAAAAAGTCCAACGCCTCCAACTCTGGTCCATGGCTTATGACAGTTGGGATGGATTTTCAACTTTCATCAGACTCAGATGCTTCTAGTGGCAGCAAGAAAAGAAGTCCAGGGAGATCACAGGAAGAGGAGGATAGGCCACAGAAGAAGCAGAACCCTTACTCAGAAGCACATAGTCAACTCAGAGATCAGGCAATAGGAGATGATGATAGGATGATTGAGGGAGAGGTGGAGCGTCTTGTGGTGGTTGAACCACATCAACTACCTTCACTAGAATGAGTATATTATCATGGAATTGTAGGGGTATTACCAATGCCTCTACAAAGCATTCTATTAGTAGTTTATGTGAGCATTATAAACCGTCTATTTTGTTTTTTTTTTTTTATGGAAACTAGGGCTAATAATACTACTATGACAGTATGGCAACAAACTTCTAGTTTTAAGAACTCTTAGTGGTGGGTCTTAGTGGTGGTATGGCTTTATTTTGGCAGGTTGGTGTGCAACTTTACATAGTACAACACACTAGTAATGTAATAGTAGTAAAGGTCTGCGAACCTTCTAGAGTTGAATGGTTAGGGGTTCTCTTGTACGGCCTTCACGTTAAGGAAGGGTCAAATTTTGGAACCAACTTAATGTCAACCTCAGCCATTTGAACTATCCCATGGTTGTTTTAGGAGATTTTAACCAAGTCACTAGTCAAGAAGACAAGGATGGAGGACGACTAGTAAGAGGCCAAGATACAAGGTCAATTCAGCAATTTTTACAAAATCATGACTTGGAGGAACTTCCACATGTTGGATGCTGGTACACTTGAACAAACAAAAAGCAAAATGGTGATGTGATTTTTGAAAGGCTGGATAGAGCATTTGTCAACAGGCAATGGCTAACATGCTTTAACAAAGAAATCATTCGTAACCTTCCATTTCCGGTGTCAGATCATGCTCCCAGCCTTGTTCAAATCAAGGAAAAGAAACAGAAAACCAAAAGCAGAAAGAGATTTGAACAATTTTGGTCACAAAGCCCTCAATCAAAGTAGCTTGTACAAGCAGCTTGGACACGAGGCACTTTACAGATTCCCAACAAACAAGAAAAGATGTCATGCTAATTACAAACAAGTTTTACAAGCCTCCAGAACTGGAGCAGTGACAGATTTGGTAATTTAGAGAAATTAGTCCATAAGCTTAACATGCAACTAACTTCTTTGCAAATGCAGTGGGAATCCAACCCCCAGGATCAACACCTTTTTTCACAATTGGCAACTGCTAGACAGGAACTAGAGGAAACACTGCAGTTTCAACAAGTTTACTGGCAGCAAAGATCCAAATTAATCTGGCGTCTCCGGTGGGATAGAAATACTAGTTTCTTCCACAAATGGAAACAAGAAGGAAGGGGGGGTGGGGGAGGGGACAGTTAGATTACTGAATCTACAAGATTCTGAAACTGAAAGCATAGCTAATCTTTTGCAGCAAAATTTTGAAAGAATCTACACCAACAATCCAGACTGTCCAACTGATCCTCAACAGTCACCTTTCATGCAACATCTTTTTAAGAATGTTAAAGAAGTCCTTACGTCTCAACAAAAGAGCATGATAGCTTAACCCTTCACTAAAACTGAAATTTGGTAAGTTGTAAGCCAAATGTCTCCATGGAAAGCCCCAGGTCCTGATGACATACCAGCTGGATTTTACAAAACCTACAAATACATCATTGCTCAAGATGTGGAAACTACTATCCTAGATGCCATCAACCAACAACAATTCCCACTTGAGTGGAGCCAAACCAACCTGGTACTTATTCCAAAGATTCTATATCCTGTGTCACCCAATGACTTCAGGCCTATAAGCCTGTGCAATGTTAAGTATTCACAAAGTTGATAACTAACAGGCTTAAATCCTGCATCACTCATTTGATTGATGATCAAAACGACTTTGTTCCTGGAGAAATATAAGCGAAAATATTCTCTTTGATCATGAAGTAATTGAATGCATCAGGAAAAAAGATGAAGATCTATGGCTTGTAGCTATCAAACTGGACATGAGCAAGGCATATGATAGTGTTCCATGGCCCTTTTGGGAAGTTGTTCTGAAAAACACTGGATCTCCAGAAAACATAACACGTCTAATCATGTTTTGTGTTACTTCAGTAACATATTCCATCCAATTCAATGGTGACAGTTTTCCATTTTTCTCCCCAAAAACAAGCATACGTCAAGGTTGTCCATTGTCACCATATCGCTTCATACTGTGTCAGCAAGTTTTGTCTTCATCAATCAGAGAAGAAATTAAACAGTTTCCAGGACTTGGAGTCAAGCTTATTCGAAATGCTCCACGAATCAATCACCTCATGTATTTTAATAATAGCTTATTCTTTATTGAAGCCAAGGAATCAACAATTCAAGCATTAACAGGGTTCATTAACATCTATGCTACCTATTCTGGCCAAAAGATTAACTATTAGAAGTCATCAATTTTACTGAGCCATAACACTTCTGCTGTCACGAGAGGTCTTATACATATTACTACTAGGATACCAGAAGGTACTTTCTAGAGTAAATATCTGGGATCATCCCTAGATTTGAAGGAAAAACAGAAGGATATCTTCAAAGCATTCACGACCAGACTTTTCAATAAGTTTGCAAATCTGAAAATGAAACATTTGTCATATTCTGGACGAGTGACTTTAGCAAAATTAACACTGTCTGCAATGCTTGTATACCCAATGGGAGTATTTAAGCTTCCAGTCTCCACGCTACACAAAGCAGATAGCATCATAGGCAACTTCATCTGGAAAGGTGATATGTTTATATTTTACCTATTTATTATATCCCTAATTTGTGATTTTTGCAATATATTTTGAGTACAAATATACTATTTATGTGATCTTATCTTTAATTGTAGGAATTATACTCAAATGAAGAATTGTTGAAGTTTTGAGCTAAAATCGAACTAAAAGCAACTCAATGGGAAAGAATTGAAGTTTGGAGCAATTAATGGGGAAGAAATTAATGAGTTTAGAGAATTGGAGGGCCAATGATGCAATTTTGGAATGTTCTTGTTTTTGGAAAATTGCCCAAGAAGCTTATGGTTATACGGTTGATTTGGGATTGGAATTGGATAAGAATTTTAATTCCGATATTATTTGGGAAACAAATTTTCTTGCTCTCCAAGAAGTAGAGTTTTGCCAGAAGCCTATAAAAGGAGGATTAGGGATTTATTTTTACAACAGAACTGGACCGAAAACTGACCGAAACCCTACGGTTAAAACTCCATCACCGCTGCTCGGCAACTCTCGAACCACCAAACTCCCAACTCCTTCACCGGCAGCCTCCTTCTCCACCTTGTCTCCCTCATCCACGCACCACCACCGAAACCAAAACCACGGGCGGTAGCTTTCTCCTCTTCACCTCTCTTCATCATCACCAAAACCCACCGGAGCTCTACCTTCTTCCTCTTCTCCACATCCATAACCACCTCTGCCTCTTCACCGCCGAGACCGCACCACATCTATTTCAGCCCACCACCACCGAAACCGAGACCAGCCGGCAGCATCATCTTTTCTCCACCTTGCACCTTCTTCCTCCATATCCCACCGAACCTTCACCTCCACGCAGCCCTTCCATCTCCCTCCACCTCTGACCACCGAGACTACACCACCGTACAAAATCCTTCCGCCGACCACGGCCTTCTCCATCTCTCGCACAGCATCATCATCACTTGAAGCAGCAACCGAGCAGAAGGAGAAGCGAAAGCAAGGAAGCCGCCGGGGAGTTTTGGCGGTTTTTGGCTCCATTCGGGTTTTGGAGTTTTAATTATTTAATTTATTTTTTTTCTTTATTATGTCTCTAAATATTGTTGAATTAATTTTAATAATGTTTAGTGTCTAAAATTCTATAATCTAGGGCTTAGGTATAGCCACCGAATTTATTTGGTTTATTTGGTTCATTATTATTTGATTTTTCCATTAATTAATATTTGTTATTCTTGTTTTAATTCGTGTAAGTAATTGGCCACTATTTGCATGTCTGAAGATATTAATCGAAGTAGCGAGAGTGGAAGATTGATATTAGTTCGTAGGAATAATAAACTTAGGTTGTAAGCTACGAGAGTAAGATTATAACCTTTGCAATATTTGATTCTTAATGGTCTTAATGTGCTTTTGTTAATCCCTATAGTCACGAGAGTAGTCATAGGGTTAATATAAGTAAGAGAATTATAACACGAGAGTGTATAGTTCTTAATTAGGTGAATCGTTGTGAGATTAATGGAAGTTAAAAGCCCGATATTTGTGAATTGTACTAACCCAAATATTCGGTAGGTGAACCCAATGTCCTAGGTTTTCTTTGTCTGATTATTTGAATTAATATTATTTTATTTTATTTTATTTATTTATTTTAGGTTTAAATTTTATAAATCTGAGATCATCATTTATCTAGATAATAATAAGAGTAATTTATATCTGGTAATTAGTATTCCTTCTCTGTGGGATCGACCCTGCTTTCTACTTTACTACTAGTAATTGTATTAAGTAGGTAATTAATATTTGACTCGTGTGACGACGGCTTGTCAAATTTGGCGCCGTTGCCGGGGAAGGCAACTAATATCAAATTTAGATTACTTTCTTTTATTAGTTTAGATTTGTTTTTTTTATTTTATTTATTTTATTGTCTTACTATTTTAGTGATTTCTTTTAAATATTTTTGTCTTATTTTTATATGCGAAGTGCTAATTCTGAGACTTTACAATTTGATCCAGAGATAGAAAGAACAGCTCGTGCGAACAGAAAAGAAGCAAAACTAAGAAAAGAGAAGAATCAGAGTGAAACCATGGGCGACAAAGTAAACACTCGGACACTGAGGGATTACTTTACACCTACGGAGAATGTTATTAGGTCAAGTATTACTAGACCTACCATTGCTGCGAATACCTTTGAGCTCAAGCCAGCATTGATCCAGATGGTGCAGCAGAATCAATTCTCTGGTTTTAACAATGAGAATCCAAATGCGCATATTGACAACTTTTTAGAGATCTGTACTGTTAACATAAATGGTGTGACGTCAGATGCAATCCGGCTAAGACTTTTCCCTTTTTCATTGAGGGGAGAAGCGAAGAATTGGTTGAATACTTGCGATCCTGGTTCCATCACAACTTGGGATGAGCTTTACAAGGAATTCCTGATCAATTTCTTCTCACCACATAAGGCAGTGAAATTGAGAAATCAAATTACTGGGTTTATTCAAGAAGATGATGAGACATTTCATGCTGCATGGACAAGATTCAAGG